TTGGCGCGCGCGCGATTTTGGCTCAATCAGAATCATCGTTTTTTTTGTTGATTTTGGCTTGGCTCTGTGGCTAAACATTTTCTCAATAATTAATTGTTAATATCTTAACAAGTCTTTGCACAGCTGAAGATCTATATGATGAATGGTCTTTATGGTTATTTCAATGAGTTCCGTTTGGCTCGCTTTATGGCTTGGGGTTGATGGATGCTTCAAAGCCAATGCCGCAATATTAGCGGGCCACCTTCGACCACACGCGTCGTTTTGTTCAAAAATTATAGAAATCACTCCCAGAAATCATGCTCGAGTGCCCCCATCTCTAAAATATTTTATTTTGATTTTTATTCGCAGTTCTGCTGGCTTGTTTCTTGCAGGAATCGGAGGCCACGCGACGTGTGAACCGCGGTCGTCGCACCCTCACCCGCAGATATTTCGGTAAGTGGTGGCGTATACGTGATCGATTGTGAAATATTGCTAATCCGCCTCGTTTCCCGCAGCTGGCCTTGCCATTCCCGGTTGGGCTCTGATCGTGTGTGTGGCCCTGGGTGAGCTGCTCATTGGCGGAGCCCTCTACATCATCCTGAAGAAGGTGATCCTGGACAAGGAGCCCGATGAGACGGCCACCTCTTACACTCCCGCCCAGGGACAAACGACGGTCCCCACTTATACTCCCGCCCAGACCCATGAGACGGGAGCCACCACCTACACGCCCGCCCAGAATCATGAGACGGCCAATGTGACTCCCACGCCCACGCATGCCACTGCAATCGCTTAAGGAGGAGTGTTCCAGTTCAAAAGTTCATAGCCCCCTTTGAAATCAGTTTAAATGCAGCCATAAACTAGCTTTATTGCCATTTAATCAACACACACAGAACACATGTGCCCTTTGTTTGCCTTCATTTTCGAATAAAATCATTTGTCACTTAGGTGGCGCCAAACTAGTTCACATTTGTGTGGCTAAACGTTTATCAAACGATCGAATCGCTGGCTTTTAAAATTTTATTGCACCGGCTATATATCCGCCCAATATCGATCCAGTTTGTCTACTGATTGTCTGCATCGCACGCAACTCTAATTTATTTCTAATTAAATTAAACAGGTTTTGATAGTGGTCGATTGGTATAGTCTATTTTGGGGATCAAGATCAAAGATCGTTAGTATTTATAAAAAATCTAAAGCATAAGTTTGGGGATTTGTTAAGAAAGATCTTAGCCATTTTCTAGCTAGAGGGCTTTTCTTTAGATATATCTTTTTTAACCCACTGGTAATACTCATACATTTTTTTAAATATTTAAGTTTTTACCTTGTTACCTTTACTTTTCTACCTAAATATATTTTTTAAAGCATTTTGTAGCCTTACTGCAATATTTCAATAGATTGCCAAGATTGCATTTGATTATCCTGCTCTCAACCGAATCATTTTACTCCATATTCGGGAATTGAGCTGTCCTCGCTTTGTGTGTTTGGATCCGAGGCTATATCGCTGACTGATTTCGGTGCCACTTGGGATGCGGCGGCCACTTGATGCCGCTCCCTCGTTTTGCCGCTGACAAATCGAAATTTATTATAAACGCAATTGAAAAATCCCCAGTGCGCCACTTGAGCTGGTTCTCTAAGCTGCAACACAGTGTAGATAGATCCCGGGGAATCGGAATCCCGGCCAAGTCAAGGGCCCAGCAGCCAAGTAGCTGTAAATGCCAACAATTGGCGCAACCGAAAGCTTTTCCGAAGCTTGGCGGCGGGGGTGAGGGGGCGGTAGCCAAAGCGGATTCCAAAATTGACACAAAACAGACAAAAAGCGAATCGCTTAGGCGCAACCACCCGCAACCGAGGAGCCACCATCCAAACTACCATCCTATACCATCCCATCCCGATCCCCACTTTCAGACACGAGTGCAGTGGCAGCCAAAAATTGTGCAACTGGAGCGACACTGGAATGCTGCACTTAGAGAAATAAATTTATATTTTAAAGATATCTTATATTAATAAGTTTATGAAGTTATTAATCACACCATTTTAGTGGACCAACAATTAATTTAATTTTATCCCAATCAATGTTTGATATTTTTTGATTGACAAGGATTTATTAAAGATCGAAAATCTAAAATAAAAAAAAAATTTATTTTACTTAGATGAATCTATTATTTTTATAAGATCTCTTTTATATTGATTTTTTTTAAAAAAAAACAAACAAATTTAAAACTATTTTTATGTAGCTAGTGCATATTTTCAACATGAAATACATTATAATATTTTGTCAACTAATAGCAGACTTTTTAATAAAATAAATATCGTTAAAGAAAATATGTATAGGTTTATTTTTATTTATTTTATTTTACTTACAAATATTGTTCATGTTTTGTAGTAAAAAACTTTTAAAATATGTTAAAAACATATTTTGAAAATAATTTATGTAGCATACGTTTTCAACTATAAGTTATTTTTGTATTTGCGCCGAATCATATAGACTTTTTAAATAGGATATATATACGTTCAGAATATATTTCTATCAAAAATATGTTATATATTTTTTGTAGTGCTGGTGAGCCAGCTAGGATTCCTCGCCAGATACTTGGGCTTTCGCAGGAAAGCCACACAAAACAGTTCTGTTATGTTCTCGAAAGGACTTTCGCCCCGAATGGGAATGCAAACACGGTGCATATGGCCATGGAGCGGCACTCGGGCAATTGTTGTGGGTCAGCTGGGGCAGGAGCTGTGGCAGGAGCCTTAGCAGGAGCTGTAGCAGGAACTGCTGCAGCCGGAGGTCCTTCGACGAGCAGGAATCCTGGCAGCTACTCTGCACTACTGCTCTGGACACTTGGCCGGGTTCAGGCGAGTGTTTGTGGGGTGTTAAAGTTTATCAACATATCGTCAACGTTGTTGTGCCGTTGTCTGACAACAGTGGCTCATATTTATTTATGGCTCAGCTGGCACTCGGGCCAAATACGTACTTCCGCATGACCCAGACTGGCCGCTTGGAGGGGCACTTGTGGCCGGAGTTTGGACGCAATCCTGACAGTTTGGCAGCCGTTCGGCCGGGTTATCGCATTTTTTTCCGATGCTCTGAAGCTCCGCTTTTCTGGGATTTAGACATGTACACTTGTTGTAAACAACAACATTAACAAGGGTTTGCCAGGACACTCATAAGCATTCATTGGAAATCCTTTTCGATTTATTTGCGTATTCAAACGGAAACATTTAAAGTGATTGCGGATGCAAATTTCCCTCCCAAGTAGGCAGCACGAAATCGCTCTGATGTGCCACCTTAACCTTCCCTTTCGACCCCGGTATGCTTTTCCTTTCTTTCGCTTGCCTGCTTTCTTTGCTTTCACTGTGCTTTCTTCCTTTGTCGAAATGTGTGTGTGTGTGTGGATTTCCAAGATCTGAGCGCGTGCCTGGCAACATTTGTGGTTTTTGCGCAAACTTCACACATTTTCTTATGTGGGGCCTGCTTTGCCTTACCTTTTTTTATTGTTGCCAGCGCCATGAGAATTTCAATTTTCACACAGGTGCACTTGTGTTTGTTGAAAAAATAAATATCAATCATACGCCCCAGTGGCCTCTGTGAGTTCTGGCCCCCCCACTAACCGCTTTTATGAGTTCTCTTTAATTTGATATGGATATTTGCTTTAGCAATTAGCAGAATTCTCTCCAGGTTTTCAACTTCAACTCGGTCGATATATCAGCATATGAATTTGGCACCTATTCCAGGTGCAAACGTATGTTCTTTAGATCAAACAAAAGTCTTTCTCGTGTATATTTGTAGCAGATAATGATTTACATGCCACCGTTTGCCACACGGGTCATTTTCTGCTACAGAATCTTTTCCATAAAAGTCTGTTCAAATTTTTTGAAAGCGATTTTTGTATTCTGGAAAATACAAAATAATATTAAATGTGTGATATTTGTATTGATCAATATTGTATTCGTATTATTCTAATGTTGCCGCATCATTGGCGCATATACATATACCTATGTAGTATTCTAACCGAATTAATGTTAAAAATTAATTTTTGCAATAATTTTCCCCCCTTTAGTTGTGTGATTTGAGCATCTGATCGATGGCCACTTCAAACATTCGCAACTGGAAGCTTTTGGCACTAGTGTGCGACTCGTCGTGCATTTATATGCCCATTAAGTTCGCACTAAACCACTAAAAAAGGCTGTTAATCAGTTGAAATTGCTTGAACAAACCGAAAAAAGTCGAATGAAGGGGCTCATCAATGAGCGGCGATCTGCGATCGAGTCAGCTGCTCCAGATGAGCAGTACTTGGTTTTACCCTTCATTTCGCCTGTCAGCATGTTAATTACTCTGGGCCAACTACTGGGTATGTGTGATTAATTGGTGTGTAGACAGATCCCAAACTGAATCGCCTCTGTTGACATATCCCCACACTCAACACCCACGACAATTGCCACTTGACCAGCACTGAGATTGCGGCTTATCAGTCAACAAGAAAACCCTTCCTAAGTGGTTTAAGCGATTGGCCCAGAGTCAATAACAACAACACTGAATGGGGAGAATTCGTTAAAGTTTAAGCCACTTTCACCTTCCAGGCCGGGCCAAGCCATTCAATGGCGTTTATGCAAATCGTCCGGCTGCAACAGCTCTAAAATGCAGTCTGAGGATAAATTTGTAACGAATTACCAATCAATTGACCAACGAAACAAACAAACCAAACCGAAACGAAGCCAGACTTTTGGGTGGAGAGACCGCAAAGGAGGTCTGGGCTGCCTTGTAAAACGATTTGGATACGTATTCGGAATTGGAATTGAAATTGCATTGCAGCTAAAACAAAAACAATTTAAATATAATGGAACCACAACGACTCGGTCTCCAGAGGAGAGCAATGTGAATAATTCAGCCCAGAGTACCGAAACAGCGGCGACTGCAAATTAAATCAAATAGTTATATCATGCAAGTAAATCGCTGTGGATATCGCACATACGCCCCGTTGACCGCAGACCCAACTCGCAGCTACTTACACGCCGCGCTCATCGCTCCGGGCATCAGTACGCGCCCAGTGCTCAGCCGCAGCGGATCGTGAATGTGAACGGATGTGTATATATCTATCCACATATATTTGAAGATAGTGTGCATCCCGAGTTCTGGGAGATAGGGCAGAAAAGCACACAAATATTTGCACATCCCAAGAGGGGGGCGGAAAGGACTTCCTGGACTTCGCATACACGTGCTGCATCGTCTGCGGCCGGGATCTGAAAAGCAAAAACCCCGACTCCGTCTCCGTCTCCGTTTTTTACTCGAACTCCAATCAGGAGCCGTTCCGTCTAGTTTTCGTAGTGTTTTTTGCCCGGGTTCGAACAGCATCCCTCCTGCACCACCATGCACTCGCCGGCTGCCAAAGTGTCGGGCTACGTCGTCCTGATGATTGTGCAAATAATCTTCCTGGTTCTATTCTGGCTGTTCGTGCGTTACGAAAAGACGGCGCTGCCCCGGGCAATCGCTGCCGAAGACGCTGGATCAGCAAACGAACACGTTTCCAAATATCCGCGTGAGTAGCTGGGATTTTCACCCCATCCTTTGTGAAATTCTTGAAAAAAAGAGTCCTGTTTTAAGCCTCTAGAATAAAGCAATTCCTTTTCAAGAAGTAATTGGCATGTTAGAGAAATTTCATTGACAACAAGGGTCATTTTTAATACATTTTTTAATAAAAAAGTACTTTTTCTTGTTCAAATATTGTTTAGGTATTTTATAGCGCATCTTAACTTTATAGTTCTGACTAAGCTTACAAAAAGTTTATAGGATATAAGCAATAGTTTTCTAAGAAATTTCCATTTCTTAAAAAATCTCTTAGTTTGGCCCTGAAAAACCACAGATGTGCGAAAATATCTGTTGACCAAACTGTTTTTTATAGGCCATGCATTTCAAGTTTTCCTTATTTTTGTTTAATTAGCCAACATTAGCTAATATCCACTAAATTTAAATCAACTCAACCAAAGCTCAAACACTTTTGCTAATCAAATTATTATCTATTTACGACTTTAGTCAAGCTACCATTTTATTGTTTGTATTTTTAAAACATTTTCTGTTGGTTAATTAGCCCGCTTTGTCTAATAAAAATCACTTAAACTAAATATGCATGGCAGCAGTGCAAACATTTCATACTGACAAATCAAATACAAAAGTGGTTTTATACGGTGGGGGATTTGTTTACATGGAACCCCTAAAATTGCACCTCTTGTGTGGGGAACAATGTTATATATTTAGATTCTCCCCTCTAAAATAATAGCAAACGTGCAAAAATATCATTTTCGGTGTTTGTATACGTTATTTCTATATTATTGTTGGTTTGTTTGTTTGGTAGTTTTTGTGCAATAAAAGTCAGTGCATTTGAAGGCTCATGGCTATAGTTCTTCTTGAATTAATCAAGCAGCGACTCCACAGAAATAAATAAATATCATCTAACTATTTTTAGATGTGCCCTTTAAAATAAAGTAAAAATGTGTGAAAGTTTTATATATAGCTTTGGCCTAAGATTTATTTCTTTTGGTTAATTAGCCGCCTAGGGCTAATAAAAGGCACTAAACTTGATGGAACTTGGCAACAGCATAACTTTTGCATATGTTTGTTTTTCTATGACTCGCAAAAACTATATTAAATGATGATTAATTGAGAACTTATTAATTCATTGAAATAACGTTTGATCTTACGCCGTTTCAATGGCTCTGAATTAATAGTGAATAGATAAGATCCGAAAATAGAAATGTATCTATTATAAGAATTGAATTAATTACTTGAAAATTGAGCAATTGAAATGTATACATCCTATTGATAACCAAGTAATTAAAATAGCAGAATTCGTATAAAGGGAAAACGGATGCAAAACGGTCAAAAACAATTAAAAGGACACCAAGTTGAAGCTCTAAATCAAAGCCCACATAAAGCTATTACCCATGCCAACCAGCGATATATAGATATAAACTCTAGTCCTGTTCTATTTTGGGGGGAATGAGATGGGGGTCAGGACCAAAGGCAGGGCAGGACCCGCATTGTTTGCCAAGTGTTGGCGGGTCATAAATAAATGAAGTTCTTTTTCGCACAGTCTCCGCAGTCTTTTGGGTCCCGTGGCACCAATTCCATTAATTACTTCAGCCACTGTACGGGGTACATAGTACATTTTGCCGAACTGAAACGAACCGAAACCGAACAATGGGACATACGACACACACGCGCACAAATGAATAATTAAAGTCATTAATTTCAATTTATGCAAATGCGTCTGTAAACAACTTGTTGCAATTCATAATAAATAAATTAAACCGTATTTCACACTAATTGCACCCGCGCGGGCACACATACGCACACAGGGGGTGTTTTGTGGGGGTGTTGGGTGGTGTTGGGTGGTGTAAAAGTGGGTGGCTGGGGGTGGGGTATCCACACCCCACAGTGGGGCAGCTGCCATTGCGTCTTGGTGCCCTGGTGACATCAATCTCAATGCAATTGACTTTTGGCAGCAGACAATTGGGCGGTTAATTGAAACGACTTGACTCTATTAATTGGCATCCCAGCTGGCCAAGACAGACCCTCCTCCTCTTCCTCCTTTTGGAATCTAACTCTCCTGATTTCCCCACAGAGTTCCAGGACATCCAGGTGATGATCTTCATTGGCTTTGGCTTCCTGATGACCTTCCTGCGCAAATACGGCTACAGTGCCACTGGATTCACCCTGTTCATGGCCGCCTTGGTGGTCCAATGGGCCGTCCTGATGAAGGGATTCCTCCACATGGAGGACGGCAAGATCAGGTGAGTTCCAGCATTTGGGTTCAATTTATTAATTGCTTGACTTAGGGGCCAGAGCCCAGCTGACAAATAAGATTGTGATGTCAAATGAAGAAAAATACCCCGAAGCTGAAAATGAACTCAAGCAATTACTTTAAATGAAGAAGTCAACCTGAGGGCTCGGCGGAGGCAGAGGCTTCGGGGGGAGTCCTCTACTTATGCTAAGTGAAATGGGCAACAATCCCAAGTCAAATGGCAAACAAAAGGACAAGCAGCTGTAAAAAGAACCTGACAGTCAAATGTACTGTAAGAATGTAGAATAAATAACTTATGGCAAAGACTAAACACTTAGAAAATTAATAAAGTAATTTGAATTTTTACAATTTTGTTTGCTGGCTAAGAAAATAATTTACATAAATACAGGCCAACATAACTAACTAATATGAATTTTAAAGGTGCATTTTATTAGTAAAATGTTAACTATGTATCTTAACTTTTTTAAGGACTAAAATATTGTTGGCCTTTAAAAATCTTAGTTATATTAAACTCTAACTTTTTCTTTTCATTTGACTTTCTAAATTCACTTTTTATTCTCCTGTGTAGAAACATAAACCGCCTTGAAATGCTTTAAAATGTATTCCATTTCATTTGGCGGCCATTTCTGGGTGAGGGCGTGTCACCTGTCGCACTTCCTGCTCATCGCACCCCCTCCTTTTCCGCCCACAGCCTCTCCCTGGAGAACATCATTGATGCGGACATTGCCGCCGCCGTGCCCCTGATTAGCATGGGCGCCCTCCTGGGCAGGACCACGCCCATCCAGCTCCTGTGCATGTCCATCTTCGAGGTGGCCCTCTTCGCGGCCAACGAGTACCTGGCCCTGCATGTTTTCAGTGTGAGTAGTGGCTAAATATTTATTATAAAATACCCAGCAGCAAGCCATATTTCCTCCAAACATTTCAGCAAATTGTGAGCCAATATTTATTATTTGCTCAATACTTATTTATGAAAATAGGTTTAAACAGGTCGTGACAAATGGGTCATACCATATGCAAACCGAATTAAAATGCATTCAAAAATTCGGTGATAATTTTATGCAGTTCGGGTTGCTAGGAAAACAAACAGATGATTTCCATAAGCTTAATCAGAGCAGTGTAATAAATTTGAAAACAAAACGTGCATAATATTAGGAGAAAGCATGACATTTCGCTAATGCCTTCAATGGCATAATTTGAAAGCGGAATAAGCATTATTTTCGTTTATTATAATTACATGAAATTTGAAATATTTTGTAAACATATTTTGAGAACAGCCCATGGGTTAAATGAATTTATATTACCTATTAATTAACAAAAGTTGTAGAAGGATTTGAAATATTTCCTAAGCATATGTAATTTAAGGACAGCCCATGGGTTAGCTGAATTTATATTACCTGTCTATTAATAAAAGTTATTCAAAGATAGACATGTTTAATACTGTATTACGCATTAGACGTGAAAATCTTTTGTTTTAATTTTTTAATCTTAATTTGGAAATATAACTTATTTTATCCAAAATTTTATTAAGGGTATGACATTTTTTTTGTATGTTTCTAGCCTTAGCTTATGTATTATTTCGTTACATGGGCATTTGTATGGTCAAGTGGCTTGCTTTCTTGCCTTAAATAAATCAAATAATTTTTTAAAAATAATAATAAATATATTTATTGATCCTAAATGCTTTATCCCTGACAGATCTGCGACTGTGGAGGTTCCATCACCGTCCATGCCTTTGGTGCCTACTTTGGACTGGCGGTGGCTTTAATGTTGAGGCCCGCCAGCGACCAAAATGAGGCGGGAAAGCTGGAGGGCGCCAGCTACACCTCGGACATCTTCGCCATGATCGGCACCACCTTCCTGTGGGTGTACTGGCCCAGCTTTAACTCCGTTCTGGCCGAGGGAGCCGGCGGCGAGCGGGCCATTTTGAACACGTTCCTGTCATTAGCCGCGGCAACAGGTGAGTCACGTGCCCCGGCAATTAGCCGGCTCAAGTGGAGGGCAGCTGGAGGACATTCCGCCGTCCATCGTCCATCTCCGGCCATATCTTCCGGCCATCTTCGCCCGCTCGCACATATCTTCACGCCCGTCTGGTTCATTCCTATGGTCTCCTTAGGCCTTGTTAATTATAATGTTGGCGGGCCTATTAGCACGGATCCCGATGAAATTGAAAAGGCTCGCAGGCAGCATTTCGCCCCAGCCCAATGCCCCTTTTCAGGTCCTTTCGCATGCGACTCACAAACTAATTAAATGTCAAATAGTTTCGTTAACACATTTGAAAATTTATTTTGAGCACGTAGCGCACATAAAAACGAGCCAGCCTGTCCGGCATTTGCCTGGTGCGATGGGTGGGTCAGTAGTCGAGGCAGTCCGGTAGTCACTGTTAAATCCCATTCAGGTCCAGTCCTGGCCAGGCACATATAGAAAATGTGCTAAAAGCAGCAGCCCGGGGTGGGGCTTTGCCTTGGTTGACTCGCTCGGTTAATGTAAATAACAAAACACAAATTAAATGTATACAAAGGACGCCCGGCAGCAACAACAGGGCCAGTAATAATAGTAGGGCCAGCAGCTGAGATAAGCCAACTAGGGATGGGGCGACACTTGGCTAACTGTGGCCGGAGTCTCGCCGGCTTTCTGCTCCGGCTCTTCTGGCCATGGTATTAAAGCCCTCACGTTACGTGGCGGAGGTAACACCTTAAAAGGCACATGAGTTACCAAGAGCTGGGGAAAATATTAGGAGGAGTTAGTCGTCGAAAGAAACACCCTAGAATGTGTATTTTGTCATAATAAAATATTTAAAATAATTATAAAATATTTTTCTCATTAATTAAATATAGTATTTAACAACGTTAGTTACGAAAGCATTTTTCTCTTCATTAATTTCCCATTGGTATTTACATTTTTGTTTTCCAACAATGAAATAAGTTCGAAAACACTTTACATACACAATGAAACCCACTTCCTATGATCCAATTTCCGAGTCAAATACATCTTTTGTTTGAATTAACGATTTAAATTATTTATCCAGCATTGCCAGCAATTAAATCAAGTATATATTTCCATATTGGTTATTAAATATTTTGCCAACTTAAAAATTCTTTTGCCAAAGTTCATTAACTTTATATGCTGAACAAAGAACACTTCACAGTGATTTTTCGCATTTTTAATTGCCCGAATGGAATGCGAACCATATAAATGATTCATATTGTATGTTTTCAAGAGTACCACTTGTTAGTATTTCATTTTGCTTTTTTGCCCATAATTTCTTTGCTCTTTGAAAAGCACTCTCAGCTTTGCCCGAGTACATCTTAATTTGAGTTAAAAATTCTCGTCTCAATAAAGTGCATATTCAAATTTAGTTGCAATTCATATCTGGGGCCAGAGGAAACTTAATCAATGAATTCCAATCTGGGCGGCCGACTGGGATGACCCCATCCCAAGGATAGACATCCTAGAGTATCCATGTTGGGGGCTTGCGAGGGGATGGGGATGGGAATGGACATTTTATGCGGAAGGATGTGCGATTAGTTGAGTCAACGTGCGGCTCCGTCCGTTGCAGTGGCCTAAAGCCCCCCCTCCACCCACTCCCGCATGTCCTGTCCGGCGTGTCCTTGTCCATTCGGTGGCCGGTTGCTTGGCTCACTAGTTGTTGCCTTAATTAAACTAAAGCTGGGGTTCAGTTCAATGCTGAAATTAGAGGCGGTCTGGTGGGTGTGGCCACGCTGGTCCATGTCGGCCATGCGGGCGGACATGCATGGCCTGGCCAGCAGGATTGGTTTTGGCTAGGAGTAGGAGGACTAGCAGGAGCAGGAGAAGGAGCAGGAGGGGACCGGGTCAGACGACGCCATTTGGTGTCCGAATGCGGCGCCAACAGCAAAAATACGCCCCAGTTGTTGTTTTCACACCAGGCACAAAATGAGCCGAAACGTCGTCTGGACCTTCTCCTAGGTGTGCACAGGGAAAAATTACATGATAGGAACATTTTAATACAAAAACTTATAACTATGTATACCAAGCTATTCCTAAAATTTAAAGAACAAATGCAGAGCCCAAACTTGTATATATACAACATATTTTTACCAAACTTTCTTACTATAATGTTGGTTTTTGCTAGGAACTGATTTCGTTCCAAGTTACCCTTAGCAGAAAATATATATTTGAAAAACATATTTAATAGCAGGTATTCAGGAAAGGTTGCCATTATTTTAATTAACCAAAGCTAATCGATTGGTTTAATATTGGTTTAGCTATACACTTGTAATTAATTGTATATCAATTATCAAATAAAAAAGGTGTTTCAAATCATGATCAACACCAAAATGTTATAATTTAAATGAAAACTCTAATAGTTTGCAAACCAAGATAAATTATAATAGCAATATAAAAAATAGGAATTTAAAAATGCATTAATTAAGATAACTTTATTTGTTAGCCATGGGAAATATATACTTTCAACAATTTAGATATCACAAATTCTAATCTTTGAATAGATGGTTGAGTTATTTTATTTTCTTCTGTGTGCTTTTGGGTTCGGGTCCGTTTAGAACTCCAGTCTGGTCAGCAGGGTGGATTTTTAGGGGTCGAAAAGGGGGGAGGCTGCCCGCATTGGCCAACAACGCTAAGCACAAAACACATTTTACAGTCGCAAGTGACACCATTGGCGTTAATTTAAATTGTTTAATGTTCGAGCAGGAGAAGGCAACTAAACAAAAGCAACAGCAGCAGCTGATGTCCTGAATCCTGAATCTCGGATGCCGTTGGCTTGGCTTTGGTTTAGTCCTCGAGCAGGACGACGAGGATGGGGACCGGCTGTAAAAAAGCTGTTTAATTGATTTTTAAGCCAGAATTTGCTGTTCTCGTTGTTTTGCGTCGCCCGGACAACGTCAAAAGCTGTTTTGAAATTGTTGCGGTTGGACTTTCCCCTCTGCCGGAACTGTCCCCCGTTTGGCCAACACGTCGGTTGAGATTTGCCTTACTTATTTGCAGTGGCCAACCGACGCCTGGCCCCAACTAATTTATGCAAATTATTATGGCTGCAACATATGCTCCGCCATAAAATGGAGATTTTTAAGTATTTAGTGTTATTCAGCCGAGATTTATGCTGGCTGCCGGTCATAAACCGAAGCGTCCTTGTTTTGTTATTTTGCTGTGCTGTAGCCAGCGGAAAGGCGACATAATACTAAGGGGTCCTCCCCCAGCTGGAAATCCAAAGGGAAATCCAAAGGGATCTTGCCACTGTCGTGTTTACATTTTTATTAGTTTTGTGTTTATTGCAAAAGTGCGGTTCAGTTGCTGTTGCTGTGTTGGGTGTGTCATTCCTGCTGGTCGAGTGATTAGCGATAGCTGCTTGTTGGTCTTAGAGAATCTAAAAAGGAAGGTTTATGAATGCAAAGGATTTTAGCATGCAACTGAGTTTGCTTACTGGAGAAACAAGCAGTGAGTAAATAGCAGAGAAAACGCAGACTTTGCTGTTCAACAGGTCATATACGTGATTATTCTGTTTAATGTATCGTTGGCAATTGATTGGATTTTTTAAAGAGTTTACCCTTTTCCAGAAAAATGTATGTATGTATTACAGTGAGAGCATTGTTAAAATGATAATAGTTTTAGAATAACTCGAAGTAAAAAAATGATTTTACTAATTATTTTTTTATAACAAATATATTAAAGAAAATGTATACAATTATTCTACTATCATTTACTATTGTTCCATATGATAAAAATATTTTTTGGTTACCAAACCAACTGGTAATATATCTTCCAAAATATACAATAAATAAACAATGATAAACAGAAATTAATTTAAAAACATACTCCTTGTAAACGCAATACCAATTTAAAATGCACAACTAATAAGTCTAACCAAACTCCCCATAAAGAACTCCCCGTTCAAGCCACATTTTTAACAGCAAGTCCCAGTACTTTTGCGCACCCTAATGAACCTACCTGGGACTCATTCAAAAATGCATTAATATCATGTAATTAAGCCAGTCCATTCGAAATTCACTGGCCGGGCTTCACATTCAATCCGCCCGCCAACCATAAATGCGAGCCGCAGCCTCCCTGCCCTGCGTGTTTTTAGCCATGTTCTGTGCTGTCCTGTTCCTGGGAACATCATCCTAACGCCCCCTACTCCGTTGTTCTACTCCACAGTGACCACCTTCGTCGTATCCGCGCTTGTCAGCCACGAGAATAAATTGGACATGGTGCACGTGCAGAACTCGACCCTCGCCGGCGGAGTGGCCGTGGGCACGGTGTGCAACCTGCTGCTCGGCGCCCACGGAGCCGTCTTAATTGGCATTATCGCCGGCACGGTCTCGGTGCTCGGCTATCGCTATTTAACCGTAAGTTTGGCAGGCTGAAACTGCCAGAAAAAAGTAGAAATTGAAAACCCAAAGGGTCCATAATACCCGCCCCATACAAGCATAAGCCCGCCTATTCAAATCGCGAACCTGGAATGCAACTAGAACTATATCTAGCTGGCGGTGGCTTCGCTTTAATTAGTGAGCCCAGGAAAAATGCGACGCTAATGAGTAAAGTTTGTTGCCCGCCGGTCAGCCGCATCCCGTATTCCGCCGGACTTCATCCCGGAATCCGGCGGACTTCCATTTGCATTACGACCACGCAGCACCGAAATCCGTGGGGTTTTCCCTCTTTTCGGTTACGCTCGCTGGAGCAGTAAATAAATTTACACTTTTCAGATGACACACTGACTCCCTGGCCATGTTTCACTTTTATTCAATTTAATGTCGGCACTGGCCATTAATTAATATATTTCAAGTACAGACAGCACATCTTACGATCTAACTTGTTGAGAATTTAAGGGAAATTCATTGGTTTTCTTCTTTAATGTGTCTTAAATAATGTTTTTGTAGTTTCCGTTTAAATGGCTTTATTATAAATAAATCAAATCAAAAACTTAATTTACCTCTTTAATTAGTAATTGATAATAAATCTGAAGAGCCACTTTAGAAATAATGAACTGCTCTAATATTTAGTGGAATTGAAAGCATATTAAATTTGATGTTATTGGCAAAAAGTTACTTTTAATAACGTTTACCATAATATTTGTATTGGAACTAACCTTTAACAAAAATATGTGCATATTACTCTGATTCTAGAGCAATGATATTTCCCGGAAAATAGCCCCATGTGCCTCCATTCAAAGTTTTAGTTCTTCTAATAACTTAAAATGGGGAAATGTTAGTAATTTATTCAGTATTTTTTTAAGACCAACTCTTAGCTCTTTAAGCCCAGGTTCTAAAATATCTGTTATTCAATGCACAAAGCTGTCCATTTATACTCCTTTGAACTGGTTTCCAGCCCTGGATGACCGCCAATCTGAGGCTGCACGACACCTGTGGCGTGCACAACCTGCACGGCATGCCGGCCCTGATTTCGGCCATTGCCTCGGCCATTTACGCCTCGATGGCCTCCGTGGGCGAGTACCAGTCCGAGCTGCAGGACATTTTCCCAGCCATGGTGGGCACCAACGGAACCGAGACCAAAATCATGGGCGTGAGTATCCGTGTCCGGCTGTTCCAGCGGTGGGTGTTAATCCTTTTTGGACTCATATCCCACAGGGTCTTGGCCGGAATGCAACTTCACAGGCGGGCTACCAACTGTTCGGCATTGCTGTCACACTGCTTATTGCCATTGGCGGTGGTATTTTGACAGGTTTGTATGGGTCGTATTTTTAGAATTGGGAACTATGATTTTTTTAAGTAACCAAAAGGGAACAACGAAAGTTTAAATGAGAAAGAGTGTTTTTCATGGTTCTATTAACGAATTTATAGAAATATATGTAACACTTATAAACATTTTTTAAACTATTCATTTATGTAGATTGTTTGTGAAGGAACTACATTATTCAACTTACTCTCACTTTTGGAAAAGATTTTAGTTCATATTGTATGGATAGTAAAAATAGATTTTCTTGGTTTAAGATACCCTGAAATTGTTGATTTAATATTATAGTAAAACTAAAAACAAGAGATCCAAGAAACTTAACTATTAAACTAAGTTTAAATACTTCAGTTTCAGTTTTTTCTTGAATTATAAATTTTACTTTAATCTTAACATCCTCTTTAATCCCAAACCAGGGGCCGTGCTGAAGTACACCAACTTCCGGAACCTGAAGAAGGACGAGCAGCACCAGGACGAGCACTACTGGGAGGTGCCCGCTGGCGAGAACAAGGAGGAATAGTTAAGTGTGGCTCCTGCCAGATTGATCACAGCTCACGCGTCTCTAATGTGCCTTGTCTAACTACTTACGACTACTTATTATTAATATTATTTTATTTTATTTACATAACCCTATTGTACGAAATGCACGCGTTGCCATTGTGCCTGCCCTCATCAAAAATAGCTGAGAAAGTTTGCCAAATTGTTTGCCATTTCCGTTTGCCTCGCTTTGCATTTGCATTTCGCTGATTTGATTTGCCGCCTTTTTTGCAGTGAACTAGAAAAAGTTGACGAGCTTTTGCTGTAAGCCAAATAATGCCAGGCCAAAACAGCAGCAGCCATGAGAAGAGAGAGGGCTCCCAGGACAATGGAGTCCGGCCAATCCTTTTGTTGTCCTCGCCTGCTTCGCTTAATTTTTGTAGACATTTGTCGCATTTAATTAAAAACTCCAACAATTTACACATTTAATTAGCGTCGAGCACTGAAAAACAGTAAAAGCAAAAAAAAGTATTAGCAATAAAAATATTTTAAATGTGACACTCTGCATCCAACTCCTCTCTCTCTTAACCCCTTTGTATATTTCGCATGCCGGGCGCAATTTTTAATGGAATTAAAATCATACACATAAAATCCAACAACGAATGTTGGCGCAAAAAGTTTAAATATGCTAGCCAAACTTTTGGATGACGACGCCGCCGCCGCCGCCAACTCGAATTCCCAGTCTGCCGCCAACTTTAATTGGCGCCCATTTCTGTTGCGCAACTGGAATGCAATTGTCCCCGCCAACAATTTGTATGTGCGCGGAGCTCTGCACTAGGACCCGGCTAATTAAGTGGCCCAGGACAAAGTGCCAGCTAATTAGGCGACTTTTGGCCAGGACACCAAGAAGCCAAGTCTTCGAGCCACCTTCGCGATCAGCTTTCTTGGCTTTTCCGGCTTTCCACGGACAGCTCAGCCGGCGATTAGCCCACCTGGCGCCGAAGGCCAGTAATCGCTGGACAAAGGCGAACCTGGAATAATGTCTTTCAAACGACTCCCGGTCTACGGAGAGCCACCAAGGGGACCACTGGGCGATAAGCTGGCGGCCAACTACTTAAGTTGGCTTTGTCACCAGCCACAGACGCATAAACAAAGCCCAAAAGGCAAACAATTACCGGCAAAGAGTTCAAAAAGTTCCAATAAAAATTGTCAGCCAATGTCTTGGGTTTCTGGGCTTTTAACTCATTTGCAGCAGTGAAGATAAGCCATAAAGATTGTTAAGCTATCGGGCTTAGTTCCCGTTTTCAAAATCACAAGTCCTGAATAAAACAATTTCTGGGTAAAAAACGAATTGATTTAATCTTTTAAAAATGATTAAATTGTCTTAAAATATATGTAAATACTTAAAAAAAAAAATGACATAATTTATTGTGCCCAGTCCAATGAGGTGCACTTAATTGCCTCCAAATGAGTCAGTGGATAACAGCTATTATATTTTTTTTCGCATTTTACACTTTCAATAAGATAAATACTCAAACGGATTTAATTTATTTTTAAACGTTTTATGACTCATAAATACTTGCTTTTTCCCGCCGTTAGTAATAAATCCTTTAAAATCTTTAAATTGTTTTGGAAACTTTAAATACATAATTATCTTCACAATTACAAAAGCAGAACTCGTCCTCCAAAATAAATTTTTTTTAGTGAATGTGGAAATCAGAACCAGCTTGTAGTTTACTGAAAGTCAATGGGATTTTATGATGGCTAATAAAAGTTGTCTACGTCAATAAAACGAGATTTTCCAGTAAGAACTGTTCAATATAAAATTGCCAATAATTGGCTTTCCCATTTCGGTCTTCCATGGAACTGCTGAAAGTATCTTCCCTGTAGATCTATCAAGACCGAAAAATGCTATTCAAGCCTACTGTTTTCGGGGCTAAGCGGACTAAGGCTCCACGACGACAAGGCCGAGTAGTCAAATGAGTGGCCGGAGCTGTCGCTTCTGTCTGACTGGACTGCCAGACCAGTCTGGCCAGGACCTGGACGGGAAGGACTCGGACAGGAGTCAGGAGTTGGGCAGAGGACAGGGGTCAGGAGACTGGGTAGATTGTGCAATTTGGCAAAGTATTCCCCGGTGCACAGTTCCACTCTTTGGGCCGACAGCGCTGACGTCTCTGTCTCCCCATTTGCGGTTGTGTATGTTATTGCACTGAGAAAAAACATATATAAAATAAATTTGAAATATTTTTGGTATATTTTATTAGCGTTTTTCAACGAGGGCAAACGTTTTTGAAGAAGAGTTATTTATAATAATACATTTTTTTTGTTTATGATGAATATTTTCATCCTAGAGGACTATATTTAAATAAAGGTGTATATAAAATATATTAAAAAGGAAAATACCAAAAAGATTTAAGTATTTTTTTTTGCTTTTTGATTTTGGAAATGTTTGAAAAACTAAAACAAATAGAGTACCAGCTGTCAGAGCCAGTTACTATACATATGTTAGGACTCATTAGAATGGATGTTTTTATATTTTATTAAACAAATACCAGATACATACCTTTAAGACTTAAATACCAACATTAAATCCCAACTATATTTTATATTTTAATTAGATTTTGTTAATCTAAACATTTGCCCTAGGATAACGCAACTTTCTTGAGTCTAAGAGGGGTAGAAAAAAATGTTTTGATATATTTTCTGTAAGTTTATTTGTTGTATGATTTTCTCGCAGTGCACGTCTGTACCTGTGTCCCTGTCTAAGTGCTGTTTTATTGCATGTGGTTGACTGGTCGCCCGCCTTCCTTCGCTTCCTTGGATGGCCGTGTGCCGTTTGCCGATTGCCCGTCCAGACGGGCGGACACTCACACGTCTATAATAATAATTAACAGCCTGAAACTGAAAGGAAAATATGTCGTCAGTCCCAATTTCGTCCCGTATTCATTTTCGACCCCCGGAATACCCGCTGCGGCCTTTGAGTTCTTGTGCTCCTTGCTGCGCCACGAAGTATGCAGCATATTTTATGCATGCCCGCCGTAAAGGACAACTGTCGACTGGAGGACTGAGGACTGCGGACTGTCGCCTGTGACACGGCTGCCATAAAAAGTGCAGAGCCAGGAGCAGGAACAACAACAAGGACTGCAATTAAGGCAACTTTAAGCGCGTTGACAACTCTGCCGGCATCCCGACATTGACTTTGTACTTCCTTTTCGCCTTGACCCCCCCCCCATTTTTAACCACCCCATTTTGTTGCAACAAATTGTTGGCCATAGTTCTTTCCATTGTAGCTGCCTTTTGCTCCGGAATGTTGGACGAGCTGAGCAGCTGGGGATTTGTTGGCGTTAGTGTTAGTTTTGTTGGCGTTAGTGTTGCAGGAAGCCTTGGTCTCGGATTCGGATTCGGAGACCAACTCGGCGACGGAGGCGGAGACGGAAGCTTGTACAGCATTTTGCAACAGTAATTTTTCGGGTGTTGTTTCCGCCGGCGCTGACAGTTTCCCCCCCTCCTTTTTATGGCCCGACAAATGTTCTGGTCTTGGCCCGATTTGAAAGGGTCGCCATTTGGTTAATGTTTCATCGAGGATCGGGTGCCCTTGTGGGCCGCTTGCAAAATTCATGATTTACGTTTAAGTGTCATTGGTGTTTAATTATTTAACCAGCCACGGGTCGTTTAAGCCGCCTGTCAACCGGGGAATCGACTGCGTTTCAGGTGACCCAAGGAGTCCACGATGCGAGCACACACGTGCGGGCTGTGTTTGCTCGCCGGGGTCGTGGAATCACTCCGGTTGAACTCCTGCTGCTCCTCCTGGTCGCGCTTTCCATTTCATTGCGAGTAGAGCACTCTAAAAAAATCTATTTACTTAGGTTTTGAAAAATAAATCACAAATACATGTGAAAAATAGTGTCGCCCATTTTATAGGCAGTGTTTAATATATTTCTAAAAATTTAAATAAAAAGATACACTTCTTAATATTAATAGTTTAGTATTATAAATCGATCTTCATAGGTTGTTAATTTATTTTTTTTTTACATGAATATAATTTGTGTTCATGCACGAAATGGAAAAAATTAATAGAAAGAATAATTTGAGGGTCAAGATTAAATCAATTATTGAAGATCTGCTCACTATATACATTTATTTATATAATTTTTGATATTTTATGCATACAAGTACATATTTCTCGGGACTTTTAGTAAAATAACACAGTTTCAGCCAAAAATTTTAAATGTTTTTTTCTTTGTGTGATAGGTAGGTAATTAAATTTTAGTTTTTTTAACTTTAGAATAATGTTTTTTTCTGAGTGCAGGGCCAGTTGACTACCGAAATTTCGAGCGTGTTCCTTGGCTTGCTTACATAAATATGCGCACTGGGCACGCAACGCCGGGAAAGTGTATGGGCGGTCCAAAAAAGGGGAACCAGGGGTTCGGGGGAAGGAGGCGACCCTGCACAATTTGCAATACTCCAGGGACTTTTCGCTCCGCTGCCAGTTGATATGGATATGTCTGTGCTCGCTTTCGCCGGGGGTTTTTTTGGGGAGGGGGTACAAGTACATATGGGATTGCTGAGTGCGTCAGGTGGATGGAAATCGGGGAGGAAATCGGGTTGCTGCTTCTCCCCTTTGCATGCCCGGCTCACATTCCGTGGGCCAGTGTCAGGGCAACAAAACGTTCAGAAAAGTGAAATTAAATAAATTTTATAACATAATTTACGCTATCAAAACATGCACTCCCCTGGCGCCCACGACCACTGCACTTGTCTGCCTTAAATATATATATATACACATATATCCTGCCTGTATCCTGGGACCTGCAGTAGCCCCCATTTGCCCCACGCCCCCTACTGCTTTTTTTGGCACTGTCGAAAGCGCTGAATTGTAGGCTTCAATTAAATGTTAATTTTACAGAGCTTAAGCATGAAATTCGGTTTTATCCGAGGGAGATGGGATGGTCTTGGTATGGGGATGCGGCTTCCACTTCTTGCCGGCTGCTTTTCATTAAGGCAATGTGTATAAAATTGTGTATTTTACGGCTGCATTTTAATCTTTTTTATTGGCAGCTCTCTTTTCAGGCACACGAGCTCATTTCTTTGCTACCGGCTCACCTGAAGGAAGGAGGCTTAAATATGTAGGGGGCTTGCTTTCAAATGCTGCCAATAAATAAAAACAAATGTTTAATATCCAGAGGCTTTATTCGAAAAATATGAAAGCTTAACCACTGTGTATTCTTTTGACCTTTTGTCTAACAGATCAGTGAGATTTTTGGACTTTAAACATAAGCGAGAATATCATAATTTTTATTTCAAGCACACACCTAATGAAAACTACTTGAAGAGCTTTTTCCGAAATTGCAGCCCTTTGGCTCTTTGAATATATTTATATTTTCTAGCTGACAAAAATCCAGTGACCCACTTGAAGATGGTCGAGAGCTTCACTTTGCACTTGACTTCACCTTTTAGCTCTGGAAATTTTTGCGCATAAAACATGTTGCGAATAAAATGCATTTGCCACTTGTCCATGTCGTTTGTTTACTTGCCAGTGGGCGTGGACCTGGTCCGCCCCAAAACACATTCAAAACACGCTGCGAACGCTCGAGTGTTCATAAAAAAGCAGACCCATAAAATCCATATTGAAGAAGGGCAGGGGTTCGTTTCGTTTCAGTGTGCTACGGCAGAAAAAAAGGGAACCATTGTAATAATGTCCAAAAATATGTTACCAACACGTGTAGCCTGGCATGCGAAAAAATATGGAAAATAAACGAAATGTAAAACATTCTGGCGCTGTGGCGATGCAGCAGGAAGGGGATTTTCTGCCACCGAAACCCCCTTTAATCGATGCAGCCTCTGTGTTTTATATATAACGATATTTTATTTAACGCCAGCAGCCAGACAGACGGGGCAGACCAAAGGCTCCAAAGGACCCCCGAACCAGTTTCGGTCCCAAACAACCCATACCATCCAGCGATCCAGCCATCCAACCATCCAGACAGACAGACAATGTCAATGCACAGGCCGCGTTCATCATCGCCCAGGGGACGTTAGATGGGGACTCTGAGCCGGCATAAAAATATAAAAAATATGCTGACAATAAAAATTTGTTGAGCGGCTCAGCAGCATGCAACATGCTGTTGCACGCCGCCGCCAGCAGGTCAGACGGAAGTCACCACACGGTTCACCTACATATGAGGAAAAAACGGATGAGGGAGCTTTGGGGAAGGGA